CCTTTAAGAACACTCCCTGGGAGTTTGATGGGACACTTCCCTTTCCTCTCCTTTGTCTAGAGCAGTGATGGCGAACCTATGACACGCATGTCAGAGGTGACATGCGAATTCATTTTTTTGGTTGATTTTTCTTTGCCAAATGGCATTTAAATATATAAAATAAATATCAAAAGTATAAGTCTTTGTTTTACTATGGTTGCAAATATCAAAAAATTTCTGTATGTGACACGGCACCAGAGTTAAGTTAGGGTTTTTAAAAATGCTGACACGCCGAGGTCAAAAGGTTCGCCATCCCTGGTCTAGAACTTAGTCCCATGGTTGTACCTCTGCAAGGAGAGCTTGGAAATGTAGTTTTTTATGTGCTCCCTTAAAAAGAAGAGGTTTGATTACCAAGAAAGAGTGGATGGGACAAATATTGGTGTGTAAGTAGCTGTCTGTGCCACAGGTTATGGCAGGGATTTGATTAGATAAAGCTTACAAAGGATTTGGTACAGAAAAAGCACTCAGCAAATATTAGCTTCATTTCAACACAAAGTTTTCTTAATGTGTGTGCTCTGGGGAGCTATTGGTACACGGTAAACAGTGAGCAGATGGGGAAATGGGCCTCAAGGGTCTTCCCTGACTGACCACAGAGCTGAAAGGCAGCAGGTCCTGGCAGTGGGCGTCACGTGGGTCTGCCTGGAAAAGAGCAGGGTGTGTCAGGGATGACGGAGGAGCCCTGGAGATCCTGGGGACCATGCCCCACTTGATTTGAGTCTCTGGATCCAGCCAACCCTGAACTTTTCAGTTATTTGGACCAGCACATTCCATGTTTTTGCTTCAGTGTGTTACAATCGGGCTTCTGCACCTGTCACTGAAAGAACCCTCATTAGTGCAGTGCTGTTTTTATCTGTGTATCTGCTAGGATGCTCTTGGTGGTGGTACTTACCAATGGCCAATTCACTGGGCTTACACAATGAGATCATCTCACTGACAAGAAGTTCAAGACTATGTATTGGTCTTGGTGGCAGCAACATGGCTTCAACAGTTATGTCACCTCCAGATACACTGGTTAGAGGCAGAACTGGGACTATCTCTTTCAGCTGTGCTTCTTAAAAAGAATATTTTTATTGATTTTAGAGAGGGAGAAGGAGAGAGAAACATCAAAGATGAGAGAGAAGTATTGATCGGCTGCTTCTTGCACGCCCCTACTGGGGATTGATCCTACAAACCCAGGCATGTGGCCCTGACCGGGAATCAAACTGTGATTCATAGGTCCACTGAGTATTGGTTCATAGGTCAACTCTCAACCACTGAGCCAGGCCAGTTTGTGCTTCTTAAGAGACTTCCCTGAAGTTCCTCAGCAGACCTTCCCCTATAGCTCATTGGCCTGAACTGGGTCACATGCTCGTTCCTAAGCCAATCCCCGGCAAAGGGAACAGGACCACCATGATTGGCTGGGGCCCAGGCCAAGGTCCGCCTCTCTGCAGCACAAGGTCCCACAGAGGGTCCTACATTTATCCTTTCCGCTCTAGTATCAACAGTCTGTTTTCTCTTCAAGTTCCATTCCATTTGCCTCACTCATAGACAGTTCCCTCCCATCTTGAGGAAAGATGACCTTGCACCCTTTCTAGCCACCATATTATTTCCTTCCATCAGCGTTAGGTGGGCTCTTGGTTGGCAGAACTCAAAGGAAGTTACTGAGATGTGCAGAAGGGCTCCATATCGAGCGTTTTCCTCTCAATGGACAAAGGCTCAGGGCCCAGGAGGCGAAGTGCCAGAGATACGAGGTAGTTGACAGTAGACTCTTTGTGAGGTAGTGAGTTCTCCACCAAGGGAATTGTTTAGGTAAAGACTGATGTCCCTCTCTGAGTCCATGCAGAAGGGCTTCTCCTGTTGGGAGTCAGTTTGAATGGGGTTGTTGATCCATTCATTCATTTAGTCAACAAATATTTATTGAGCACCTATTATATACCAGGTACTGGGCTAAGTACTGAGAATGCAGCCGTTAACAAGATAGGTACAACTCGTGGGCTCATTCAAGTTGTACTTGTCTTGTTAACGACTGCATTCTAAGAGCTCAGAATTTAGCAGGGGAGAGGGAACCTAAATGAGTAATTATACATGTAAGTGTATAATTACATGTGTGGTAGAATGATCCCTGAAGTTGCTTCAAATAAAAGATTTATGATTCTGTATATAAAATGCTTGGCTTAGTGCCTGGCACATAGTAGGTGTTCAGTATATGTTACCATTGTTGTTATTTCCTAACCATAGAAGCCTATGGCAATGTGTTTTTCTCCTCTGAACTTCTGTATTAATTTGTGTCCCTGTATTACTCATTTGCCATTCAACTATAGTTTTATCATGAAACTTTTATTTATCTTGTGACTACAATAAACTTAAAAAAATTACAATATTACTTACCCAAATGATGTTGAATGGATTTAATTGGTTTAAAAACAATTGTTCAGATTCACCCACTTCCTTGCCCATGTTTTGCAAACCAAGAACACAAATAATAAAAGGAGAGGAATTCCTAACATGCCTACCCACACCTCAACTTCTCCGGGCCAACAGCAGTCAGAGCAGAAAGAGGGATATTACCCGCTTCCTTTTCTGCTCGAGAAAAGGAACGCTCAGATCAGTAAAGTGGTTTGCCCAGGACCTGGGGAGGAGCTGTAGCTTGACTTGAATCCCAGCTGGAATACAGATGGGAAGCTGAGACTCAGGAAGGTCCTGCACAGTGCCAGAGGTCACATGACTAAATGGCAGAGCTGATAGAGGACTCAGGGTGCTTGACTCCCAAGCCTGTCCTGAACCATCCTTTCCCAATACCCAGGGTGCCAGGTGCCTCCCGCTGACCAACAGGTGCTATTAATACAGTAACTAAGGGGAGGGGCGGGGTCCTGCACATCACAGGGGTGATGGTCACCGGGCCTGTTGGCGGGTCTGAGAACTAACTGGGCCCCTAGATACAGCCCAGCGTGGGTCCACAGTGAACTCCAGTGGTCCCTTTAAATCTCCAGCCGGCCATTCCTTTATCTCCCTTCTTTAGGCCACAGGCGGGTCTACTCTCCCTCCCCATTATTTTTGCCTTAGGCATCCTGTGCTCATTGCGCCTCCTTGTGGCTAATAGTATCCACTGCAGCCTTGATAGCATCTGTTCCTGGGAAAATCCAAGATTATAGAATGTGGAAATGGAAGGACCCTTGGAGATTATTTACAAATAATTTCCATCCATCCCCCCCCCCTCTCTTGACAGCCTCTGACAGCATCTGTTCTGGGAAAATACGAGATTATAGAATGTGGAAATGGAAGGAACCTTGGAGATTATTTTCCAAATAATTTCCATTTCCCCCTCCGCCCCCCCGCAGTGGAATTCTGACTTCCAGACGAGTTTTGCAAATTGGCTGTCATTGAGTATATCTTTGAGTAGGAGGGACACGTGAGGTTCAGGGTAGGAAATGACCCCCGTATGTTTACAGAACTCAAATATCTTCCCTTGGGTGGAAAGTAAACTGCACCCCTCTTGCTTGCCCTAATTTCACTGGGCCTGGGATGGTAGATTCCCTGCCCCTGTCTGCTTCTTCACAAAACCCTAACCATCCAGAGAGCAGAGCCTGGGTCCTTAACAACCTAGTGCACTCCCGTAGCTGGGATGCAGTTTGTAATTGTTGGTTATGGAGTGACTGGCATGTTCTTCCTCTTTTTAAAAATTCAAGTTTGATTAATTCAAAATATGTACATTCACTCTCAAGAAGTACAAAAGATTAAAAAGTGGCTCTGTTCTCTAGCCACCCAATTCCCCTTTAGGGAAGCAACCAACATTTCAGCTTTTATGAATCCTTCTAGAGATATGAAACATAGATAGTGTATTTCTCTCTTCTTTTTAAAGTAAATGGGCTCATCTTCAAACAGTTTTTCAGTCTGCCTTTTCACTTTACTATGCTCATATACACATATTTAAAAATTTATGTAACCAATTCACTAGTTATAACATTTAGATTGTTTTCACTCTTTTGTCATGAAAAATGATGCTGCAGTGAATAACCTTGTAAATTGGCCATGTTCACATGTGTACCTATGTAGGAAGAATTTCTAGAAGGGGGATTGCTAGGTCAAAAAGGAGTCGATGTCCCCACACCTTTGCCAACACAATGTGTTATCAAACTTTTTGGCAAGTTCCATTACAAAATTAATTATAGATCTCATTTTAAGTGTGTGTGTGTAAAAATTTATGATAACCTCTTGGGTTGAAAATCAGCAAAGGTATCTGGTGGTGTTGGCAATCTGTAGATTCTAACCTCATGTTCATAGAATGTAACTCTTGTTTGACTCCAAGAATAATTAAGGAATGGGGTAGAAAAATGTAAGGGGAAGCCAG